ACACACACACACACACACACACACACACACACACACACACACACGGCGCACAATGGTCTTAAAAGGAACACAGGCAGAAGGCGCCTTAGAAGCAAGGATAGCAAGATTCCCCTCCCTTACTTTGCACCCATCCGCTGGAAGGACCCGTAGCTGGGAAAGGAACTGGCGTTTGTCAAGAGGAAAGCCCTCAGTGAAACGATTGACAGGGCCGTTTCAACGAGGGGCTCAAGCATCCCGGCCATGCTGCGGGCGGGAGCGGGCCAGCGACGTTTTCTTCTCCCACGCACAGTCCTCACGAGTCACGCACGAATCGTGGGCAACTTGGAAGGACCACAGCAGAAACCCGCCCAAACCACCCTCGACCAGTAAAAACAGAAACTAACAAGCCTGGCCTAGTGGCTGACAAGTCATCACAGGGAACGGTCACAGAAGAGCTACTGAAGTCCTAATGCCCATACGTATAAAAGAGGAGCCCGCTTGGAAGTAGGGGGTGGGGGTGTCTCTTGTGTATGTTCACGAGGTCATGGCAGAGTCTGGTGGGTCCTAAACCGGCCCCTCTCGCAGTGGCATCATTTAGAGAGCAGACACACAGAGAGGGCGATGCCACGTGAGGGCAGATCGCTCAGGCGGTTGAAGGAGGGCCAGAAGCAAGCAGCAGCTGAGACAAAGAAAGCCCCTTCCTAGAGCCAGTGCCCCGAATCCAGAGGCCTGGTCTCTACAACTGGGAGGAGCTACATTTCTGTCCTTCGAGAAGCCCACTCCTGGGTGGGTGGTGGTGGTGTTACAGCAACACTAGGAAACTGAGATCAACCCCAACACACTGCAATCACGTCGATCCCAACTCCCAGAAACCCCAGAGGACACAAGCAAACTGTCCTCCTGCATTTCGGAGATGGTCAATCTTTACGGGAACACGGTGTCTCCCATGCAGCAGCTGGTGGGTTCAAACTGCTGACCTTGCAGTTTGCAGCACTGTGAATAACCCACTAGGCCACCACGGAGGCAAATCTTATCAAGGTTTTAAAAACACTTACCTTCAGTTGTAAAGTAGTGTGTGCTGAACATTCCTGACAGAAACACATTTCAATAGCTAAGACCACAAAAAATGTCTTAAAAAATGAAATAAAATTCTTCAAAGGCTAGAGAGCTCCACATGTCTCAGAAGAGCTGTCAAACGTCTTCTAGGAGATCTAATAATTAGTGGTCTTCCAGCCAACGCCTGTGAGCTGGGGGTGGGGACGCAGGGGCTATAAAGAGATGAGACTGGGGGCCTGGCCCAGCGGCTGCATCGCCTGTGAGGTTTAAAACATACGTATTCCGATTCTATGTCCTCCCTGTGAAGTGGGAAGACGACACCTTGTAGCAGGCCCATTGGGAGAGGGATACCTGGATGCACAGTGGGTGCTCTACAAAGCCCAGTGCCCTTTTCTGCTTTATTTTAAGGCTAGCCACTCAGCAGGCCTGGTTCCCCGTCAACCATCCAAGCCCCGTCATGGCGCCAAGGCAGCACAAATAGGCTATTACCTTTGGTCCTGTATCCAGCCGGGAATAAAGTAAGTAGGTATGCAGATCCCCGTATTTCATGAAGGGCAAAATAACCATGGGTTTTGGGATGCCCTGAGAGCTCATTTCTATACAGACACCTGAAAGGAGAGAGAGCGAGCGAGTTACAAAGAGCCATTGTTCTGTGTTACCGGAAGGAAACACAGGGACCATTGGCCAAATTAAAACCATGTGCTCTGAACAAATGGCCTAAAAAACGAAACAAAATAAAAACCCCAAAGCTCATACCGTACACACTGTGTTCCAAACTTTGGAACAGACAAAGGTCTCCTTATGTGCTCCTCATACCCCCACCCCCAAAAACACTGTGTGAGAGTTCTCAAAATATTGATTCATAACTAGCTTAGTCACCTAAAAACCTATGGTTTTCCTATTATAGTTTAAGGGAGGGGTAGCGACTGCCTTAGGATTCAAATGCAAACTGCACGTGGTAGTCAAATACTTAATCATCTGATAAAAGCCTGCTGTGATCAAACACTTAAGTAATTATGAGCACCTATGGGTAAAAATCCACAGCCCTACATTTTGATAGTATATTCAGGAAAAGCTATACCACCACTTAGCGCGGACTTCTAGAATTTGAACTTGCCACTTAATTCTAGGCTTCGGAAGTTTCTGTACATTGCGGTGAAATGACAAAGTGTCTTTGTTCTCAGAATCTGTTGAAGTTACCAGTGACAAAGGAATAACAGCAGCTTCATTGAAATAATTTTGTATCCAAACATTAGGTTTCAATCAAAGGAAAGTTGAAAGATCACACAAGAAGTTACAACGTGTCAAGTCACAGGATAGTAAAAGAGAGGTCAGTAGAAAATGCAGCTACAGGGATTCATGCTTAATGTCTGGGTCACATGGGGTGTTTCCTTTTGGACGTTTTGCAACGTTTTGGACGTTGTGCAAAGACCATGTTACATACTTAGCAAATACACAGGGCTCAATTGACAGCGATCACGGAGTGTTTCCACCTCCATTAATGCTTCGCTCTGTTTGCTTGCTGCGGTTGTCACTAGCGCGGCTTTGATGCATTTGGTAGCCATGAGGCACTTTATAGTAACATTGATGAAATAAAATTAGACGTAGAGATAACACGACAGCACTCAAGAGATGCGTGATACGTGAGATTTGATTCTGCAACTTACTAGCTGAAGCATGCACTGCTATGTATTCAGTTTTTCATTTGGAAGTAGGGAATGCTCACATAAGAATGAACATTGCACTACATGCATACATCAGTAACAGAGGCACTTCTTATGACTAGCAAGGCCCCTCCGCTGCTTGTCTGCCAGTTTGTTCTGCTGTGGTGGTTTGTGTGTGGTGAGGAGGCTGGAGGCGATGTCACTGGTATTTCAAATACCAGCCGGGCTCCCAAACGATGAGCTGACTGTGAAGAAAGACCAGGTTGTCCACTTCGGAGGGATCAGTCACTGAAAACCTTTTGGATAGCATCATAACAGGGTCAGATGCTAAGAAGCTCATGACTAGAAGCCCACATTGTCAGAGACTGTGCCAGAAGATGAGCCACTCAAGATGGAAGGCACTAAACATAAGTGGGCAAAGGCTGCCTTCTCAAAGGCGAGTTGACCATACAGGTGTGGATGGAGTAAAGCCTGGGGCAGTTAAACCTTCCAGACCTGCATTTGCTTGATGGACCACAACTCAAAATGAGAAGAAACAGCTGCAAACATCTATTCCTAATCAGAACGTGGAATGTACGAAGACTAAGCCTAGAAAAATTGGAAAATGTCAAAAATGAAATAGAACGCATAAATATGGACATTGTAGGCTTTAGTGAGCTGAAAGGCACTAGTACTGGCCAATTTGAACCAGCAAATCATATGCTGGGAATGAAAGATTCAAGAGGCACGGTGTCACGTTGGTCGTCAGAAAAAGAAATTTTTGTACAAATGCGCTTTACACAATTGATGTATGTATGGATTGTGATAAGAGTTGTATGAGCCCCCAATAAAATGATTTTAAAAAAATAAAAGAAAAAGAAATTTCAAGATCTATCATGAAGTACAATGCTGTCTGTATTGGGATACCTATCTGTATACAAGGAAATCCAGCCAATAAACTATTATTCAAATTTAACCAACAACCACTAAAGCCAGTGATGCAGGAACTGAAGAATTCTACCAATGTCTTTAGTCTGAAATTGATCACACATGTAGTCAAAATGTATTGATTATTGGCGATTGAAATGCAAAAGCTGGAAATAAAAGAGAAAGTGACGGTAGTTGGAAAATATGGTCTTGGTGATAGAAATGAAGCTGGAGATTGAGTGATAGAATTCTGCAAGACCGATGGTTTCTTCATCACAACTACCTTTTTCACAACACAAATGGTGACTGCACATGGATGTCTCCAGGTGGAATACAGAGAACTAACACTGACCACCACGGTACTGAGTGGCTGCAACAATGGGCTCAGGTCCAGGAGCAATCGTAAGAATGGCGCAGGATGAGGTAGTATTTCCCTTTGCTGTGCAGAGGGTCACCGTGGGTGGCAACCGGCTCGATGGCAACTAAGAACGACAAATGACTGAGGAGAGACGATGGAGAAGCTCGATATCAACAGCTAAGACCTGGCCCGGGGCTGACCGGGGACCAGCCCATCAATTGCTCATATGTAAGCTCAGGTGGAAGGAAATCATAACAAGTCCATGAGGGCCAAAATACAGCCTTGAGTCTATGCCACCTGAATTTCGAGAACATCTCAAGAACAGATTTGCTGCACTGAACACTAATGACAGAAGACCCGATGAGCTGTGGGAGGACATCAAGACCATCACTCATGAAGAAAGCAAAAGCTCATTAAAGAGACGGGAAAGAAAGGAAAGATCAAAGTGGACGTCAGTAGAGACTCTGAAACTTGCTCTTACTCATAGAGTAGCTAAAGCAAATGGAAGAAATGAAGTTAAAGGGTTGCATAGAAAATTCCAAAGGGTAGCTCGAGAAGACAAAGTAAAATATTATATCCCATGAAATCATCAATGTACCCTGACCATAAGAAATCACTACTCTAGAAGAGTGGAATGATTTCTACAGAGATGATCTATAGCAGCAATTCTCAACCTGTGGGTCGCGACCACTTTGGCGATTGAACAACCCTTTCATAGGGGTCACCCGATTCATAACAGTAGCAAAATTATGAAGTAGCAACAAAAATAATTTTATGGTTGGGGGGTCACCACATGAAGAACTGTATTAAAGGGTCGCAGCATTAGGAAGGTTGAGAACCACTGGTCTATAGTTTCACAGCTTTAAACCCTACTGGATTCATGGGTAATCTTAAACCAGTAAGAATGAAAACGTAAGTATGACTCTCATGTCATACCTTTGCGTATCAGGGCAATTTTAATCCCCTGCCATCTAGAACTCTGTGGACATGCTCAGCCCATCTTTGCCCAGGAAATGCAAACCTACTTTCACTACCAGCCTCAGGAAAGGTCGCCATCGGATAAGTCAGTCTCTGAGGTGAAAAGCCCAATGTAATATCTTAAATTGGGTTTTAGAAAGGGTAAATCTATGTGCCTCACACTTCCCCCCACCCCTTGGCAGCAAGGGGCAACCCGCCCAGCCTGTGTGAAGTACCGAAGAGGCTGATGACGTTGGGGTGGTCGAAGTCTTTCATGCACGCAGCTTCCCGGAGGAACTCCTCAATCTCTCGCTGCGAGAAATTGTCCACTAGAGAGAAGACAGCCCGCGTTAGACAGGAACAACTATTCAGGTGGAGAAAGAGAAACACAGCAATCTGTTCTCTAAAACTAAAGCCACCTTCAACTGTAAATACTGCTGTGATCGATATTTTTTGGCTTAAAAAAACAGGAAGCAAACATACCACCCTTCTGTTTGGCATATGAGTTACAAGTCTGGGTGCAGTCATACTTTGTGAGCCGGATGCATTTTCATGCCAAATTTTGGAATGAATTAAACCAACTTGAGCGAGACATTTAAAATCCCACAGGCCTGAAAAATGTCTGCCAACATTGTCCCTGGGCACCACCTGGCAGGTGGAATAGAATGCGTCCGAATCAGCCTGCAAGCCCTTCCCAAGGGACTGAGTGGCAGGCTCAGTAGCCGAGCCTGGGAATTATACCTCCAAGGACTGCTCTTTCAAACACCGATGACTACGCTGCGGCCAGCTGCTCTCCAGTGGCTCAGGGTCTTGACAGCCTGGTGTGTATCAGCACCAAACGCTGCCGGGCCTAGGCCATCTTCACGGTCCTTGGTCACCTTGAGTCCACGGTTGTGGCCACTGGGTATGTGGAGTCATTTCCAACCGTGGGGCTCCTCAGTCAGTACTGCATCAGATGATTTTCTGTTTTGATCTGTATGGTGGTCACTGGTCACTGGCTAACTTTCAGGAGGAGATCACCAGGCTTCTCTTCCTAGTGCATCTTAGTCTGGAGACTCTGCTAAAAGCTGCCCACCATGGGTGACCATGCAGGGACCCGGAAGATCCATGGCACAGCTGCCAGCATCATAGCAGCAGGAAAGCCACTGCAGTATGCCAGACAGACAGGCACTAAGAAGTAGCCTGGGTACAACTCATCGATAGTTCATGCTAACCAAGGTCAAATTAGCAGGGCCAAAGCTAGGGCAGAAGCAGGGTCTGGGCCCAGCTCTTTATACCCAGACACTGAAACCTTTGTCTTTTAATCTGTAAAGTGGGAAAGGGAGGGGACCCTCTACAGACCCATTATGGAGAAGGATCAAATAAAATCATCTGCGAAAACAGTGCTCAGTCTGGCTCAGCACCCAGACTCTAGCTCACACTGAGTTCAGCTCGAGTGACTAGTCTAATCCCAGAGTGCCTTGGCTTCTGAGGGGTAATACTTGAACTTGTTTTCTAGGATTATTGTACAGATGAAACTGTACAATAGGAATAGCTACAGTGTACTATGACACTCAGGAACTCTCACGATGCTCTTGGGTAAGCATTGGGTTGCTAAGCACAAGTTGGTGGTTCAAACCCAGCAGTCACTCTGTAGATTCAAGATGAGGCTGTCTGCTCTTATGAAGATTTACAGTCTGGGAAACCCTATTAGAGTTGCTATGATTTGGAAGAGACTAAAAGGCAAAGGCTTTTTTTTTTTTTTTAGTTTTTGACACACAGTGAACATTATAGTAGTATTGGACATTGCTATATCTATTAAAAAGTTTTAAAAAGCGAAAAGCACTGTCCCCATCGGACTTGGTTATTGCGATTGCTTCTTATAACTGAAATAAGTATTGGCTCTAAATTCTGATTAAAAAGTCACAATATGTGTTTACAATCTAACTACATTATGCTCTATTTCCCAGTTAACAGTAGATTTGAATTTTTCAAGGCATTAATTTTACTTTACTCCTCTATCAAACGAGTGTTGATCATACATAGGGGGCTGATGTAGCAATAGCAAAAAATATTATCAAACTAAGCAGCAAATAAGTGTCACCTACATGAATTGTGATAAAGCATGCAGAGAACGTCTACACGGCATTAGTTACACATCTCCACGTGATGCACTGTGGCAAGCAGGAAACAGACGCGGTGAGAAGTGTTGCTGAGTCTGCTTATCTGATGGTGATGAAAATGTCCTGCACACCCTTCCTCCTTTCTACTTATTTCCCTTAGACAAGCAACCACGTGCCCAAGTCTTACCTAAATTAGACTTTTGTATAAATATCAATACAGATTCTAGAGTGATTTAACAGGCATCTGTCACTATTTTGGCCAACACTGTAATGCATTCTGTTCCACACCGGCACGAACTTTCTCGAATACAATCTGCTTGTGTTCCTCATTTGTTTAAGACCTCTAGTAGCCTTTGACTACTTGCAGGGTCAGCCTCTTTGTTACAGCTCACAGAGTCCTGCCCGACCTGCCTCTCTTGACAGCTCTTGAGAGGTTCTACCTTGTGGTCACAGTTCTTTACCTGCCTTTGACTGAATCATATTTCTCCTCTCTTTGAGAAGCTGACCTTCCAGGCAGTCGGTGACTTTGCAATGTCCATGCAACTGTCCCCACTGAGGAAGGGTCTCAACGAGCTAGCCAGAGTCAGAGTCAGAGGTCTTGGGGTCAGAGCTCACGAGGTCCATTGGCCTCAGTGCTTCATTGCTTATTTTGGAGTCATTAGCTCATAGAGAGGATGGATGGACGGACGGACGGAAGGAAAAGAGGATGGATGAATGGATGGTGTTGTTGTTCAGCTGGCACAATAGAACACAATACGTACGACCTGGTTCTGTGCCCTTGATCAGTTATGGATCAAGCTATTGTGACTCATCGGGTTTCTACAGGCTGATTCTTGTGAAGTAGACTGCTTGCCTTTTCTTCTCGGTCTGGAAGCTCCACTGAAACCTGACCAGCGTCGTAGCAAAACATCACCCTCCACTGACAGACTGGTGGTAGCTGTGTAGGAGGTTCACTGGCTGGGAATCAAACTCAGGTTTCCCACAGGAAAGGAGAGAATTCTACATTTGAACTACCACCACCCACATCGATAGACATACAGAGTTAACAGCAAAAGTAGCCGACACAATTGCTTTGAGTGTAATACAGATGTGAAGCATTCATGACGGTAGCTTTCCTCCTGGGATGGGGTGTTCTCGGCAGCCTTCTGACCCACCAGGGACTCAAATCCTGACCTAGGCATGCCATCTCTGGACTTCTGGAATGCCTGAGACGGAAGCAGCCATCTGCACCCAGAACAAAGGGGTGAATCAGGGATCACTCACACTTCATGGTCTTCACGGCTACTTTCTGAGAAGTCCCATCTGGCTGATTAAGACTTCCTTCCATGACAGACCCAAACTCTCCTGTCAAGTAAAACAACATCTATATTAGCCTTGTGCAAAATCTCCCCCGACGACCGAAACACAAGGCCAGAGAATGACCGGTACACAGCCAGCTAGCCAGCCCATACTGTGTGCCTGCAGGGATACGTGCCCTGCACCAGGCTGCTGCTCAGCATGCGCTGAGATGACTCAGATCTAACTCAGCTCACCACTGCATGAAGCAGGGTAACACATCCAAGAAATGTACCGGAGAGCATGAAAACCATTATGGAGGTTCATGAAACATACAATCTCAGTACTATTAGCATTCACCTCCATTCCTATTTTACCAGGAAAGTACCAAGAAAAAAATAAATTTAAGAATAAGAGGAATACATTTAACTTACAAAGGAAACGGACTAAAGAGTGGCATACTTTTCAAAGAATTAAAAAAATGAACATTTTTCAAGGGCCTACTCTGTATGAGACCTTTCCATAGGCCAACGCCATAGTTTCCATCATTTCCCAAATCACTGCTTACTTCACCCAACTGTCAATTATACAGCAACTGCTTGCATGGACACTCAGTCATTAAAACGGCATTTCATTTAGGAAATAAACACGCGCTTTAAAAAGGACTTCTGGAAATTGCTTACCTTCTCCCAGAATTTTCCCAAGAACTAACAGATTTCTGTCCATCACAACATCTTCTAGTTTATTTTGCAGTTCCTGGCTGACGCCCAAGCTGTGCACTACAGCAGGAACAACAAGGTGTGCGTGAGAGTTAGGAGTGCGCTTTCGTTCACTGGAAGGTATTGGAAACTACAGTTAGGGTCCTGTGAAATCCTAAAGCCTCTTTTATCTCACACCAGTATTTCTCCATCAAAATGCATAACCCCTGCGTTGTATTATGATTAAACAGAGTAGACCAATTCCGAATACGATTCAGATCAGAACCCTTATCATTGTGTGTTAGCAGCATCCAGCAATCAGATTCAGGTGGGAACAGTTTCCCCTGGACTTAAAGGAGTAAGGGAGAGAAGTCGATGGGTACATTTTGGTAGGCAACACACTACTGTGTTGTCAATTCACTGTACGAATGCACCACGAGGGCATGACCGCTGCCCTCCCAGGCCAGGGAAGGGGGCACATCAACCACAGGAAACATGCAGGACAGAGCCAGCTACTGTCTGTCCTACACAGGGTCTCCTGCTCTTGGGGGATGCCGTTAAGTCAGTTCTGATGACTCAGGCAGACCCGGGTGTGGAGGAGCAGACCCACTCCACGGGGTTTTAAGGCTCTGACATCACCAAAGAGGTGCCCCGAGTGGGTTTAAACTGCCGATCTTTAGGCTAGTACTGGAATACGTAACCTTTCGCACCACCCAGGGACTCCTACCTATGTACAAGGAGGGGTTTCAAAACGTTCCTGGGAAAACGCCATTATCTTTTCATTCCGTTTCTCCATGAACTTGACAAAAGCCCTTGTGTCTGCCAAACCTCATTCAGGTGATGCAGAAGGCGTTCGAGTTGGGGAGTTGAAGAGTATGTGTTTTGGTAATTAGTGCTGCCATGAAGCACTGAGAGTAAGGACTGTCCATAAGTGGATCCAGCCGGCAAAGAAGGAGAGACGATTGCCTGCCTATCAAACGATTCCATGAGGGCCCCGGTGCAGACACCAGTAAGCCTTTGAAAGAAAACCAGACCCCAAGCCTGGGGATAACAGAACCATCTGTGTCACACAGGGGCCTCGGTCAGTTCATAAAGGCACACTGGCTCCTAAAGAGAAAACTGACCTATACGGTCCTTTCTTCCCTCCAAAAGAAACTAAGGGCAACAGCTCTAAGCGAAGATTTCTTTCTTTTCTTTTTTCATTTAAGGACAAAGAATGAAACATCAAAACCTCTAGATCATTAACCAGACAAGGAAATAAATAATATTCCACGTTATGTAAATTTTTATTTCAAAGCAACCTATACTCCAAAAGATTTTTTTGTTTTGTTTTGGTTTTGGTGTGTGTGTGTGTGGTGGGGAGTGATGTCAGGGAAGGGGTGATAACATTCAAAAGTGTGGCTTTGATCATATTGGCACATGATTTCTACATTGTTTCTGAGATCATTCAAGAACTCGGTTATCTCTTTAGGCCCCCCCCCCCCCCCCACACACACACACTTCAAATTACTCTCTGACTCCACAAAGCTCAAACCGTGTAAGTGTTACAAACGACTGTGTGGGCACACTGTCCTTGGAGTTGGTTGCCAGAAAAAGGAGAGAAAAAGGGAGATGTCAGGGCCTTCGCTGCTTCCTTTAAGTCAGCGGTTCTCAACCTGTGGGTCTCCACCCCTTTGGGGGTCGAACGACCCTTTCACTGGGGTCGCCCGGTTCATAGCAGTAGCAAAATTATAATGATGAAGTAACAAGAATTTTATGGTTGGGGGGTTACCACGAGATGTTGAACTGTATTAAAGGGTCACCGCATGAGGAAGGTTGAGAACCACGGCTCTAGGTCCTTCTTTGCCTTGTCCCGACACCGGCTCCCGTTACCCCAGGGGGTCTCTTCCCACCTTGACTGATGGCCTGGTTAACGCAGTTCCAGATTGCCCGGAAGCCAGCCAGCGGATGCTGGATGCCCCACAGCAGCATTGGCCTAACCACTCGCTGGCTGCTAAAAGCACTTCTACATTAAAAATACTGATTCTTTGACTTCTGCTAGCAATCTCTCCAGTGGCTGGGGGCTGTTGCTTAGTCCTCAAAATGCTCTGACCTTTTGCCTAGAGGAAAGGAAAGCCAACTTACGGGTGAGCTCCACGGCGCGCCGGCAGAAGGACTTCTTCGCTATGTAATTCACCACCAACTCAGAATCCTCCTCTGCGAAGGCGCTCCTGGACAGAGAGAACAGAGGCGTCTCAAGCCATCATCAACACAGGGCAACGGAGGCTGCAAACACCAAGATGCTGCCTTTCGAAAGTCTCTCTTCCGTAACCAAAGCATTTCCCAGTAGAAGAAAACTATTTCTTCCCTTAGATCTGTTTTAGGCTCACCCAGCTATACCCAAAGAACTCCAGCCAAGAACCCTTAGAGAGGCAGAGAACAACTGATGGATTAAATAAAGCCCACGAGATACTGTTTTCGACTAATGGTGGTAAACTCCACAGAGCTCTCAGCTCTCCAATCACTCACTGCCACAGAGTCGATGCCTATGGGAATGGAGTCCAGTCAAGAGAGAGAAAACAGCCTGTGGTCAGCTCTTCACCTGTTTGAAACGCTTGCTTGGCTCAATGATTCCTGGGTTCTCCCAGCCCAGGTTTCTCTTAGGTCTGCCAAGTTCCCTGCCACCACAGGGCCTTCGCACATGCTACGCTCTCTGGATGGAATGTTTTCACCCCTCTACCTGACCTAGTTAATACCTGCCTTTCTTTCAATGTTTGCTCCAGGAAGGCCTTAGGAAAATCTATCCTGATTTTCTCGTTACAGACAAATTCTCTCATTTATACATTTTCCAGACCCCTATTTAGCACTTCCCACAGTGGACATTTTACTTGTTAGACTGGCTAATTCCTGGCCAACACCCTGTTCACTGGCAGCATAGAAGCAGCGACTACTTTTGTTCCCCTTTGGATCCCAGGCTACGCCACAGTGCCTGGCACCTGGTAGGCTCTCAGCACAGGAAATGAGCTGCCCTGGCAAACCTTCTTCAGAGGGTCTCAGGACCTGGTCCATACTGAGCTCACACCCTGCACCCAGGCTTTCCTATAAATACATATCTTGACATTCCCTGCGTGTATTCCAGTGAACTTAATGCTCCGGGACGACAACAGCTTTTTTTCGTCCGTGTGTCTATATAATCCTTCTTAGAATCTACATAAAGTCGAGCCACATAGAGGGAATCATGCAAGGGGGCTTCACAGTTCATGGGCAAGGGAAAGATAATAGACTCTCGCGAAGTTCCTTAGAGTCATATCTTTGTGAAGATGGTATTGAAAGTGCTGACCCTCGTGACTGGAATGGACACTCTGGAGCCCTCTCCCCAGCCCATGGGAGGTCTTGGAGAGAGTTCTAGTAGAAGAGCGTCCTTAAGGTGGAGCAATGGGAGAAAGCAGCTCAGCCTCTCCCGAAACAACACCGCACCTACGCCCCACACCCTGGCTGGCAATAGCCTGCATCTTACAAAACCCTTTCCCAGCCACGTAAGACACAGATGGATCTCATGGAAATCCAAACTCGCTGCAGAACCGCAGTCAAAAACCGAGCTCTGGAACCATGGTGACACACAGCCTTAGGCCCATAGGCTGCTGTGGCCTGGCTTCTTCGCTTTGTGGACCTTCTGTACTGCATTGTCGAGCAGGGAAGAAGCAAAGGAGCTTCCTTTGGACTTCGATGTTAGAACGCAGTGCGTTTCTCTACTAGGAAAATAACGTATCCCTACAGAAAATGTGTAAAATAAACCAAAAGGGAAAACTGAGCCACCCATGGCTACACCCTGCTAGAGTGGCCCATGCTTTCTGGGTTTGCTTCTGGTATTTTTAGCTATCCTCCCCTGCCCCCCACGTAATCAGCATCATTTTAAAGCTTCTACTAAATGCCTTCTCCTAACAGCCACCCAGTTTGAGTAGTGACGTCCTACAGTCTTCTCTCTGTCAAACAGGGTGTGTTGGGTCTGGCTTTCTCCACTCTGCAGGCATTCGCCTAATTAAGGAAACCTCCTGGCTCCAGGGCCTGCATCAAGCAGGGCATGGGCTGGGTGCAACCTGAAGTGCTTGGGCCAACAGGCCAGGCACCATCCTTTGGCACCTTCGCCTTGTCAGGAAGACTGGGCAGAGTATTCCTAACGGGCAAACTTACCCAAACCTTGTTTCCCGGGCTCTCTTTCTGATGGCCAGCGAGATATAGAAAATCAACCCAACTGAAATGAAGCCACAGATGCAGCCGAGGATGATGACCACGGGGTCTGTGTTGCCAGGTGCCGGGGTTGATGATGGGGCAAAATCTACCCAACCTGGGAAAACACCAACAGGTGCAATTAAAACAGAGCATCTCTTTGGGATTTAAAATCCCTGACACTGGCTTGCCATGGGGAAGAAGAGACAGCTTGTCTTCCCCTTGCCCACTCTGAATGTTCTCCTGCACCAATGTCTGCTGAAACCCTCGTCTGGCTACGAGGCAACATGCACAAGGAGCGCATGTTTTCAATGGCGTCATCTGCTTATAAGTCCCGTCTGCTCTTGGGTCCAAAGGCCATGTTTGGAAAGGACTTGTAAATGTGTCATACTGATAAGATGGCTGTACCTGGGTTTGACCACAGGCATTTAAAATTAAACTATCTATGGCTGGTCAGAGGCAGACCAAGGTGGCGCCTTGGTCTCTGGAAGTGAGCACAGCAGTTGAGGACACTTCAAACACCAGGCCATGCCGAGGTATTTAGCGCAATGCCAAGGGCAGCTTTTATGGGAAAGACTTTATCTTATTTACAAATCAAACCACAAAGCATCTTCCCCAAGGTATGACTGGATAACAACATGGTGAGCAGCCCTGCTTAAGGCATCACAACACACACACCATGGCAATGACAGAGGGCAACGGGCTAGTCCCATGTCCTTTATACATCATTGACACTAAAGTCAGTAAGTACACGAAAACCTGGTATTCCGACAGGATGAATCTTCTTGGCGAGCCATTATTGTTCATAGTAGCGGTCGCAGGGGCTCTGGGACCAATGACCTTATGACGTGTGTTATCACACTACCTTTGACATGGCCCAACTCTCTTTGGACTTGTTTATCATTCTTGATCAGCCACGGATTCCATATTACTCCTTAACCATGTGTGCACTGCCTAGACCGACAGGCTCTGTCAGCTGGTCGGGGCCGGCTCTCACCGTGTGCAGGGATGAATATGTTCACGGGGCCACTGAAAGGCCCCACGCCCCCTCTGGTGATGGCAGCGATCCTCACTGTGCATGTGGCGTTGTGGGCTTGAACGGGAATCTGGGCGTGGCTGTCATTTTGGCCCACCTCTTCAGAAAGCTCTTTCTGGGGACACAGAGGAAAGAGAAGGGAAGGGAGTCCTGAGGCACCGCAGAGGAGCGCCATCCCGGCCACACGCCTGCTGAAGGGGTGCAACCACGCTTCCATCGGGTCCCTTCCTCACCCTGGCCACAGCCAGCAGAGACGAATGTGGGCAGAGGGACCCAGGACAGGGTCCTGAGACCAAGAGAGGGGCCATGCAGCATGGGGACACGGACCATGGGAGCAAGGCCTCCCCCTGGAGCCCCTGGCCCCACAGACGCACCATAGCGGACCATCCAGGAGTCGCTCAGGGCCTTTGCACCCGCCCCTCTCTCTGGCACCAGCACAAATAGGTGCCCATTCCTCGAAGCACTGAGAACTTTCCTAAAACCTAATGTTGAAGAGGACAACTCATACTTCCCCAACCTTGGGTGGGACAACCATTTGCTCAATTTTTTTTTTTTTTTTTTTTACCATTTGCTCAATTTTTAAAAAATTGAGTTTGCTTTTGCTTGGAAGCCACTTCCCTGAAACAACGAGCCATTAATATGAAGGGGGAAATGATGTTTGCAAAGAATTAGCACCAAGTGTTGGTACGACCCTTTCCCTCTGTTCTCAGATCTTGACTAGGGTGATGCTCCCTGGGGAAGACACCGTTTCATGACCGGAGCTGGCTTTGTAAATCAGAACGTAGCACTGGGAAAGCGGAAAGGAAGCCCTAAGAAGTCTCTTGTCTCTAAACCATGGGCGTTTGATTTGACAGACAGACAGACAGAGAGAGAGAAAAAGTACTCTCAGACATCTGGAGCACAAATGTCATTGTCATCAATAAACAGCATGGGTGTGGTTTGGGTGATAACTTTATTACCTCAGCCCTCAGTCTCATGTCACTGCTCTGAGCAACAGTGCAGGTAGAGCCAGCTCAGCCTTCAAGGACAGGGCAGCCCTGTCACTCACGACCAAGGGGACAGACACCTGCATCAGCCATCCAGGGACTGTTCCTAAAGCTAACCCAACAATGACCACCAGGACGAGGGGATAAAGCAGAAAAGGCCACCTTAAAAACATTGCAAGTTTTTCAATTCCAGTGAATTCTGAGATTTACCAAAAATATTTTGATAATTTTTTTTTTTTTGAGGACTGATAGATTCTTTCATTAGCAGTCAAAGCACTTCACACCAGTAGGAAAATAAATGTTCCTTCCCTGAACAAGTACCTGGAAATGACTCAGAACCTTAGTTTGGAGTTGTGTGCCCTTGGTGTGAAGAACACCTTAGAAGCCAGAACATTAGTTTGCTGGGATCGTTAAGGTACAATGGGAAAAAGTTATCTATCAATATTCATTAATTCCTCATACTCACCAAGTTCGCTGAAATTAAAACAAAATAAAGCTTCATTTAGAGCAGCCAGTCCACAGAGAGGACCACATGGCCAGCCCCACTATGAGACATGATGCCCCTCACTGACCCATGGCCCTGCGGGGGACAACACCAGAGACACAGTGTGGGAATTGCACCTGATCTGAACCCGCCACACTGAGGCAAAGCATTGGGGGAGTGCAGTGGAACAGCAGGGGAGGCAAGCAGCAAGATCCCCAGGGAATGATGAGGGTGGACATTGGGGACGGGGCGTGGTGCCCCAACAGGCTGGACTGGAAAACACTCTTAAAGGCCAGCGATCCTTGAACTAACTACAAGCTTTTCTTTCTTGGTATATTTTAATTTGTTCTTTGTCAGTGGCTTGATGTTGTTGCTGTTTTGTTGTACATTGTTGCTTGGTTTTGCTCTGTCTTGTTTTTGTGCATGTTGTTGTCTCCGCAGGTCTTTCTGGATAGGACAGGCTGTATGAACAATCTGGAGGAGAAAACAACGGGACTGACAGTTCCAGAGGGACATGGGAGAGGGGGAGGTGGGGGGAATAGAAGAGGTGTTAACAAACCCAGGGACAAGGGAACAACAAGCGATCCAAATTGGTGGTGAGGTGGGGGTGGGAGACCTGGTAGGGCATGATCAAGGGGAATGTAACAAAGAGGAAGTGCTGAAATCCTGGTGGGGACTGAGCATGATAGTGGGACAGGAGGAGAATCAATGGAAATAGAGGAAAGAGCTGGGAGGCAAAGGGTATTTATAGAGCTCTAGATAAAGACATGTACATATACAAATATATTATATGAGGATGGGGAAATAGATCTATGAGTCTATATTTATAGGTTTAGTATGAAGGTAGCAGAAGGACATTGGGCCTCCACTCAAGTACTCCCTCAACGCAAGAATACTTTCTTCTATTAAATTGGCATTCTATGATGCTCACCTCCCCGACACAACCGCTGAAGACAAAGTGGGTGAATAAGCAAATGTGGTGAAGAAAGCTGATGGTGCCCGGCTATCAAAAGATATAGCATCTGGGGTCTTAAAGGCTTGAAGGTAATCAAGTGGCCATCAAGCTCAGAAGCAACAAAGCCCACATGGAAGAACATATCAGCATGTGCAATCACGAGGTGTCAAAGGGATCAGGTATAAGGCATAATCAGAACAAAAAAATTGATGTGTGTATGGATTGTGATAAGTTGTATGAGCCCCTAATAAAATGATTTTTTAAAAAAGCTTCTATATATGTAGTTTTTGATGACTCACAATGTACCTCTATCTACATTTTACGGCTCCTTAGTTTTTAAAAGGTGCTCAATAGAAATCCAAACCTCATCTTAAGATCATGAGTGTGCATTGACGTTGGTACTTTTTCACCATGAGAGCATCATGGCTACACAGCCGTTCAAGCCACACAGCTCTCTCACAGGAGGATGTGCTGGGTGCCCTCGCTTCCTCCCAGCACGCCTCACATTAAGGCTCTCTGGCACGTACATAGAACATGGGTGTGCTGCACTGGGCACAAAACTCCCCTGGCAGTATTCTTTGTTCTTCTGGATATTTTGATAATTAAATGAGCAAATTAGCAATGCATGATTTTTGTTGTGCCCTGGCATTATCTTTTCAAAGGAACACAGCATTATATTTATGGCAAACCTGGTTTTGATGATGGGTTAATTGGCCCTTTTCCTTCTTTTTTTAAAATGATTTTATTGGGGGGCTTGTACAATTCTTATCACAATCCATACATCCATCCATTATGTCAAGCACATATGTACATTTGCTGGCCTCATCATTCTCAAAACATTTGCTTTCTAGTCTAGCCCCTAATATCAGCTGCCCATTTTCCCCCTCCCTCCCCACTCCCCCCTCCTTCATGAACCCTCCATAATTCACAAATCATTATTGTTTTTTCATAAGTTACACTGTCTGACATCTCCTCCCGCCCTCTTCTCTGCTCTGCCAACCCCCAGGGAGGAGGCTATACATAGATTCCTGTAATTGGTTCCGCTTTTCTACCCCACATTCCCTTCACCCTCCAGGCATCTCCCCTTTCACCATTGGTCCTGAAGGAGTCATCTGTCCTGGATTCCCTGTGTTTCCAGTTGCTATCTGTACCAATGTACATCCTCTGGTCTAGCCAGATTTGTAAGGTAGAATTGGGATCATGATAGTGGGGGGTGGGGAGGAAGCATTCAAGAACTAGAGGAAAGTTATATATTTCATCGTTGCTACCCTGAACCCTGATTGATTCATGTCCTCCCCACAACCCTTCAGTAAGGGGGTGTCCAGTTGCCTACCGATGGGCTTTGAGTCTCCACTCTGCACTCACCCACCTTTACAATGATACGATTTTTTGTTCGGAGCTGCTGGTGGTTTCCAACTGCTGACCATGTGGATCACTGCCCCCCAATATGTGCTAAGTGTGCCTCTCACTGGAATACTGAGCATATATTGGTGGTGGTGGTGGCGGCGGCACTTCAAAACCTCTCTGCATTCCATTTTCTGGCCAACTTTTTGAAGCCCCCGCACACATCCCTAATCACAACTTAAACGTTTATTCTACATCTACCCACAAAACTGTGATAATTCCTTATGTATATTCAAAATGCATGGCCTGAAAGCACTGACCAGCATGGTTGTCTTACTTCAAGGTTCAGGATGATGAGACCTGCGAGGACAACAAGCGCTACACCTGGGTAACATCTGCTCTGGGACACATCTGCCAACCAGTTTACACAGATTAGCCCTTTACACATGTTAACTCACTGGAGGACCCCAAACAAAGCTCACCGCCATCGAGTTGATACCAATTCCTACCGACCCGATAGCACAGAGCAGAGCTGCCCCTCTGGGCCACTCAGGCTATGCATCTTCCTTGTTGTTGGGTGCTGTTGAGTGGGCTCCAACTCATCTTGACCCCGTGTGCCACAGAACACAATGCAGCCGAGGCCTGTGCCAGCCCCCAGTGGCTCCTATCTTTGAGCCTATTGTGGCAGCCACTGTGTCAATCCATCTTGTCAAGCTCTCCTGGGTCTATAAGGGAGTTGGTTCTATATATTATATGACTACCTGCTATGGATGCTTCTTTCTTTTTTAAAATACTTTTATTGGGGGCTCTTACATCTCTTATCACAATCCATACATTCCTCCAGTGTGTCAAGCACATTGGCGCATATGCCACCATCATCATTTTCAAAGCATACTCTTCCTACTTGAGCCCAATATCCACTCTCCATTTCTTCCCCCACCACCCGTCACGAACCCTTGATGAGTTATAGATTTTTTTTCCCATCGTCCTCCTTTCTTACATCGTCCTCCTTCACCCCTCACCCACTTTTCCATTATTCATCCACCTGGGAGAGGGTTCTAGGTTGATCCTTGTGATCTATTCCCCCTTTCTTGATTCTCCCTCCCCTCCCCTAATCCTCCTGGTATCTCTACTCCCCTTGTTGGCCCTGAGGGGTTTATCTATCCTGGATTCTCTGTGTTGTAGGCTCTTATCTGTAGCAGTGTGCATGCTCTGGTCCAATCCAATTTATAAGGTAGAATTGAGGTCATGATAGTGGGGTGAGGGAGGCACCAAAGAGCTAGAGGAAAGTTGTGTTTCATCAGTGCTATACTGCACCCTGACTGGCTCATCGCTTCCCTGTGACC